AAGCCCTGCGGAGGGGACCGCCTCCCCCAGACCTCGCAGCCAGAGCCAGGAACTCACAGCTGTGGTTACCCGCGCGCTGATTTCTGTTTTAAAAAATACTGCTGGGTAAACAGTGAGGGAAACCCGAGCTGTTCCCACACCACATAAATCCCCAGTTTGCTGTCCTATCTGGTTAGCTGGTTTCCCCCCAAAGAATGGCACTGCTGCCTGGCGAGCAAGGGCTGCAAACGTGCGCCCTGGAAAGCCAAGGCCGGGAGTCTCCCAGGCTGGCGTGCTGCCCCCGCCCCGGTGGCCTCCCTCCTTCTCTCTTTCAGCGCTTCCTGCCCAGGGGCACTCACCTTTGTTCTCACTTTTTCCACCTGTACGCCCTTCCTCCTTTCTTCCTCCTCCCTTCTGCTTTGTCTCACGCAAGAGGCTTCCAGGGGAGACCTTTCTGGGGGGACCCTGGGCTCCTCCTGCAACCAGCAAGCCCACAGCCAGAGGCAAACCTACCCAACGACCACACCTGCCCCTGGGATGCCTCCTTTGGAGTTTCCTGCCAGGGTCTTCCTCAAAGTGCAAATCTGGCTGGAAGGTGAGGCTGAGCCTTCTTCCCCTCGAAGATGACTTTTGCCTTAGATCAGGGTTTCCAGATTTGGAGGGTGGGATGGAGGGTGGAAAAGACACCCAGTTAAATTTGAATGTCAGATCAACAACAAGTAGCTTGTTAGTGTAAAGATGTCCCCAATATTGCACGGGACATACCCTGGGCACCCTGGATTTTGTCCGCTGCCCTAACTTAGAGCCTTTCCTTGAGCTCCACGTGCCTCTCACTGCGCAGGCGCGGGAGCCCTGGCGAGGGCCTGCTCCCGGAGCACCTCCCGGGTGTCTGCAGCCGTCTGTACAGCAAGCCTCTACTTCTCAGGTTAGACAACCAAGGTCACGTGACTTCCAAGGCCAAGTTTCCAACGCAGGACCCTCTGCCCACAATCAGATGGCCAGCACTAAAGTTTAATAAATATAGACATGAACAAAAGAATTCATTGAGGAAGCTGTCGCTATTAACTCTGTTTTCTGGGGCTTAGCGAAAGAACCCATCCTTGGTTCCCTAGAATGGAATGTCTGGCCCCCCTTTGGGGCATCTGGGACAGACGTGAGGACTGTAGCCTGTGGTTTGCTCCACTCTGCCCTGTCACCCTGTTATTTGAGCCTCACGAAGTCCCTTAGGGCAGTAGTGACCCCACTTCCTCAAAGCCTTCTGAGGAGCAAAGGGCGTACAACATTCCAGATCAATGCCAGGCCTGGTGGTAAACATCCCCGTCCAGTGTGATTTCTGCCATATTCAGAGCTTGTCCGTCTCCTGGCCGGTCCCCCAACGTGTTGCTCAGTAACAGGTGTCTTGTCCGGTTCACATGTTCAACCATGTGAGTGAACTCTAATGGCTTCATCTTGCCCCTCTTCGGTGGTATATACATCTTCACAGGGCCTTCTGGAGTTGTCCTTACGATGAAACTCTCCGGTATCAGCAGCAGCAGCAGCAGCTAGCTAGTACCACCAAAAACTCTGTAACAGTCTATGGCAAAGCTTTTCTAAGGCTCACCTCACTCACCTCTTTTAAACTGCATGGGGAAAGAAGAAAAAGCATACCCCCATTTTATAGATGAGAAAACCGAGTCTCGAGTGATAAAGTGACTTGCTGAAAGCCGTTAAGCTTATTAATGACAGAGCTGGGATTAGAACCTCTGCTCTCCTGGTCCCAAGGCCACGCTATTGACCTTCTGTTACGTTGCCATAGGAGAAGGTATTTGGAGGCGAGGGTGAGCCCTCCTCATCCTTCACTGAGACGTGGCATGCCCTGGGGTCCCGCGGAGTAAGGAAAGGAAAGGCATCATCATCCCCCACGCGCCATCCTTTACAGCCAGCAGCTCTTCGCAGCAGCGGGTCATGTAGCCACAGGACAGCCGCCCGAGCTGGTGTTTTGCCAGTGAGAAAACTGAGGCTCAGAAAGTGGGTGTGGTTTGCCCGAGGCCACGCAGCTGAGGAAAGGCAAGGCCACACCTTCCACCCGAGTGTTCTGCCTGTGGCCCCGGCTCTCCCTCAGCCACCCTGCAGCTCCAGGCCCCGGCGGGTGGGGTGGCCGAGCGTGGAAGTGGGTCCGTGGTGCCAAGGACACGCACAATGAGGGAAATTCCACAAGTTCTTTGGGATAGCTCAGGTGTGGCCAAGTCAACTGCCCACTTCAGGGCTCCTGGGGGACCCTCCTCCTAGCACGCGCTTTTTCTCTTCCTCCCCCTGCCCCCCCCAACAACAACAACCAGAAACAGGGGCCCCTCCCTTCCTGAAGCCCTGCTCCCCTTGGCCGCCGGGCTCACAAACAGCCACGTCTATTCATCTCTGTCTCTGGGACCTGCAGGGCCGTGACGGGGAAATGCTGACTTTGAGGAGGTTAAAGGTGCTGGTGCCGGGCCTTCATCTAACAAATGGGTTGCCGAGAGGGAGGAACTGTTGTTGTTTTTTCCTGGCCTCAGAAGAGGGGCCTGTCAGGAAGATGTAGAGGCCAGTGGGCCCCCAGCTGTGCCCTGTGGGGTGTCTGACAGACGCCAGCAGCTGCTCAGGTCGCGGGGGTGCCAGGGTCCTGCACAGAGCACCCCTGCCGGGCCCCCTCCCCGCTGACCTCTCCGCCCACCCCACCGTGACCCAGGGCCCACCCCTTCCAGGGGCAAAGGGCCAGGCTGCGGGGCCTCCCTGGGCCAGATGAGGAGGCCAGAGCAGGAATCCAGTTACAGCCTGCGGGGCCAGGCCCCAGGGAGGTTTTCCTAGGGAAGCCGACAGCCCGCTCTTCCTCCCAGCCTCCTGTGGATTCCTTCTAGAGCAGTGGTTCTCAACCTTCCTAAGGCCACGACCCTTTAATACGGTTCCTCATGTTGTGGCGACCCCCAACCATACAATTATTTTCGTGGCTACGTCATAACTGTAATTTTGCTACTGTTATGAATCGTCATGTAAATATCTGATGTGCAGGATGTATTTTCATTGTTTCAAATTGAACATAATGAAAGCATAGTGATTAATCACAAAAACAATATGTAATTATACATGTGTTTTCCGAAGGTCGTAGGCGACCCCTGTGAAAGGGTCGTTCAACCCCCAAAAGGGTCGAGACCCACAGGTTGAGAACCGCTGTTCTAGAGCCTCACAGCCCAGGGCCCTCGAGGGACCTTACAAGGGTGTTTCTGTAGAATTTTCCCCCGTGCTCCCCAGTCCCACAGTCTCCGTTCAGATCATCAAGTTAGGGAAAATGAGATAGGCTGGGAAGGGAGCTGAGTTTACCTCTTACCTACTTCGCCATTCACAGAAGTGATGGATTTAAAATTTTCAAATGTCTGTGGGATAGGCATTCTGATGCAGTGGGGCCAGGCTGCCTGGGTTTGGATTCTAGGTCCTTCGCTTCCCAGCTGTGTGACCTTGTGCAGGTTACACAGTCTCTCTGTGCTTTAGAGTCCTTTTCGGAAAAATGGAACTGAGGAGGAAAGCACTTGCCTCAGAGGGCTTTGGTGGGGACCCAGTGGGGGGAATATGTGTGAGGTTCTAAGATCAGCGGGTGAATGTCAGCTATCAGTGGATGAATCGACTGTCATCCCAGATGAGGAAGCGGAAGGTCAGAGAGGTAAGGCGACTTGTCCCAGGGCACACAGCCAGAGAGTGTCCGACCCAGGATTTGAACTCATCCCTGTTTAAGCCCAAAGTCCACACACCTGCGGGCAGCTCTCGGTTCTGCCATCTCCCAGCTGTGTGATTCTGAGCAGCCCCCGTTGTCTGTCTGAGCCTCATCTTCCTCATTTGTGAAATGCAGGACACAGTTCTTCCTTTACCCTAATGGGAGAGCGGTGAGGTTCAGAGGAGAAATGTGAGTCCAGGACAAAGCGGAGAAATGAGGCTGGTTGTGGCTACCACCCCGTCTCCTCTGCTGGCCCCCAACCCCCTGGCCGCCCATTCCAGAAGTCGCAGTGCCTATTTCACGAAGAGCGTGTGTGCAGCCTCCAGGCCTCCTTCGGAACCAGTGGCCCATGTCAGCCCGGATCCAGCGACTCTGGGCTGCGGGAGAGGAGCTCTGTCCTACGGTCCTGGAATTACGTTAACCCTCCACAGAGACCAGCAGGCCACGGTGATGAAGTGGACTGACTGACCGGCTGAAATGGCAATTGGCCCTCCTGGGGTCGGCACCCGCCAGGAAGACCATGTGACGGTTGGCCAAAGAGACCTCCTTTGGGAACGAGACTACCCCCAATTCCTATTTCCATGCCCCAGAGTTCACAGCAGACTTGGCCTCTGGGGCTGGGGAGGGGGACGCAGGTGGGTGAAGGTCAGGGAGCCAAGAGCAGGTGCCGGAGGCCTGGAGAAACTTCAAGGGCTTTATCTAAGAGCCTCTTTTTTTTTTTTATTTTTTTTTTTTGCCGAGGAGAAAAATGACTTGAACCCCCTCTAGAGAAGTGTGGCTAATTGGCATTAAGTTGAGGGTTAACGAGAGGAAGGAAGAATCTGATTTTTTTTTTTTTTTTAAGTTACTGAGAAAGTGAGAATGTCACTTTGGACAGAGAGAAATCAGTTTTTCCTGGAGTATGTCTTTCTTTATACCACAGACCCTAGTGGGCCGCTGAGACTTGCAAAAAAAAAGATTCCTCTTAATCCACCTTCCTTTTTGCAAGCAGCGGTGGAAGGGCCTTTAAATCAAATGCAATCAGCAAACTTGTCTCTTGCGCTTATTCCCTGCTTCACTCCCTGGAATTTGGCACTTGACGGATTCTGGATCTGACTTAAGGCTTTTTCCAAATCCAAGACTTGGGGAATTTTGTTAACAGTGTAATAAAATAACTTCATAGTGTTACAGGAGGCACATTAAAGAAGTGGTGTGGGTGAGCTGCTCTCTCTCCTTAAAAAAAAAAAATACAGACAATGTTTCTTTAAAAGTCTCCATCTGCAAATCCCATTAGATGTGCATATAAGGTTTCTGATGATTAATAGTTGCCTGCTCGGGTTTTGGTTGGAGGGGACTGTGTGGGTGCGGGTTAACCCCTCCCTCTCCTCTCTCACATTTCACTTCAGAAATTTGTCACTCTCTCCCCACCGCAGCATTTAAAAGTGTGTCTCCGCAGCCCGGTCCAGCCCTCTGCAGGCATTTGCCGAGGGCTCCGGGCGAGCACTCCATCAGCGGGCGCGTCTGGGCTGGGACAGTGAAAATGTTTAGTGTCCTCGGCGACAAACACACGCACAGGGGATCCCGCTAGGCAGGCTGGTGCGTCCGGGGGCAGGAAGCCAGGAGTGAAGTCGGACATAAGTGTGTGCACACACATACGCACGTGTGTGGACTTAAGAGACTTGAGTTTTGGGTTTTGTTTTGGTTCCTGGGGTGAACTTTCTGTTGAACATTTTGCCCTGCTATTTAATTTTTAATTTTTTTTTTTTTGCATTTAAAAAAAAAATTGAATATAAAAAGGGTAAGAATCGAACCTTTGAAAGACTGAGGCGCGCTGCAGACAGCAGATGGATCCCGTGGCCAGCAGCTGCATGCGGAGCCCCCACCCCCCGGCCCCCGTCTGGGGCTGTCTTCGAAATCCCCACTCTGAAGGCAGTGGGGCCTCGGGGCTACCCCACTACCCGCCAACCCCGTTCTCCTTCCACCAGAAACCAGACTTCCCGGCGACAGCAACAGCAGCGTACCCCGACTTCTCGGCCTCCTGCCTGGCGGCCACCCCGCACAGCCTGCCCCAGGAGGAGCGGGTCTTCACTGAGCAGCACCCCGCCTTCCCACAGCCCCCCGACTGGCACTTCCCTGTCTCAGAGGCCCGGCGTAGGCTCAACCCGGGCCCAACGGGGGGCTCCAGGGAGATGGGGGCCAGCAGCCCAGGTCTGGTGGATGCCACGGGAGGCCCAGGAGAGGACTATGAGGTCCTTGGGAGCACTGCCAATGAGACGGAGAAGAAGTCAACCAGACGGAAAAAGGAGAGTTCAGGTAGGTGGCTGGAGAGCAGCTGGCCCTGCTCTTACTGTGTGACCTTGGGGAGGTTTCTTGCCTTTTCTGAGCCTAACTGCCCTGACGGTGAATTGCAAACAAGTCTATCTAACCTACTCAAAGGCAGGAAGGAGTTACCTTTGGGGTTTCTTCTACTCAGAGCTCTAGGGTTCTCTGGCGATGGGGATATCTGTGACCCCAGTACTCGTGGGCCCCAAGAAGGATGTGCCAGCCAGAGAATGAAACAGGATCCACAAAGATCTGGAGGACATGTGGGAGGGAGCCTCCGTGTCAGCCGGCAAGGGCTAGAGGGGGGCTTTCCTGACCCCAGGCTGCCTCTGGGTCATGCTTCTTCTCCCTGCCAGGCCCCCAACAGCTCCAAATGGCCCCAGAGCCACAGTGTGCTCACCATGGGAATCAGCTGAGACGGAAGCTGGGGTGGGGGGTGGGGGGTGGGGAGTGGGGGTTTAGAACCAAGGCCAGAACCCTGGCTGTCAAGCAAAGCCAGGACCCAGTGTCTCCAGGAGCCTAGAGACAGAGAAGCAGGACTAGGGCTGGGATGGGAGAGGCAAGGGGTGAGGGGAGATGGAGTGCTGAGAGCTGGAGCAGACAGCCCGCAAGGGATCACCTTGCCTAGGTGGGCCGTGCCCAGGCCAAGGGGGCAGTTCAGCACCCTAAGGTCTGGGTGACCCTCAGCGAAGGCCCTCTGGAGGGATCGCCGGCCGTGGGAGAGGCAGGGAGGCAGGCAGCCAAGGGCAAGCACTGGACTTCAGAATGCAGGTGAAGCCCAGCTCGGCGCTGGAAGCCAGAGGCCAGAGCACGGAGCTGGTCCTCTTGTTAAGATCCCAGCTTAATCCCATCTCCTCCCCGAGGTAGGGACCTGTTTCCTCATCTCCCCATGGGCCCTCCTAGCTTCCCTCACTGCCTGCTCACCTTTTGTCTGGGTCCCTCACCCCACCTTGCCCAGAAGAAGGCAGTACCCATGCCTCCTGCCCCCGCTGCCCACTTACAGCCACCCTTAAGGCAACATCTATCTATCTGAACCCATAGAGGACCTTCTCATGAGCTAACCAGGGGCAGGTAGGAAATGAGAGGGCCAGCCAATCAATGACAACATTCTGTGCTTTGCTTTACAAAGCACTTTGGATATAGCACGGATTTCCTGGGCATTGCTTTTTGCCAAGCCCCGACCCCGGCCCTGGGGATGCAGAGATGAATAAGATGGTCTCAACCTGCACCCCCCCCCCCCCCCCCCCACACACACACACAAAGCTCAAACTGAGAGGGAGGAGAGGCCTACAGATGCCTGTCTGACAGCGATGTGCTGCAACCGGGAAGTTCAAGGTACAGCAGGCAACACACATTAGCTCTTTTGAGTCCCACCAGTTTCGAGGTAAGCCCAGCAGGTCTTATCAGTAGATTCTAAATGTGTGGAAAAGGAGATGCGTAAAGTTTAAGGGGGTTGGGGGGGGCTCTGCTAGAATGGAGTCTAAACAGAGTGAGCCACTCATTTCAATTTGCCCAGGACTATTCTGACTTTGGTGTTGGAAGTCTGTGTCCTAAGAAACCTCTCAAACCGGAGCAATTGGTCACCCTAGAATTCAGCTCAAACCCCGAATTTCAGACCCCAAATCTCACAACCTTCAGTCGATGTCAAGCACAAGCCTCATTTTGAAATATGAGGATTTTCAAACACGCTTGAAGAAGCCCCTCAACGCGTTCACAAAGGAGGATAACGATCACAGCCTTCCTGGCTGCTCAACAGAAGGGCCCTTTAAATTTCCAACCGCTTAAGCCCTGAACCGTTCCTAGCCCCGGCCGGAGATTTGCCGAGAATGGGACACTTTGTGCTTCTCCTCTCCAAGGAGCTCTCAGTGACTTGGCTCGGAGCCTGATTGAAGAGCTCTCCCCTCCATGGCGCCGGCCACCCTCTCTCCGCCGCATCCAGCCACTTTCCAGGGAACTGGGAGCCAAGGCTTGGGAAGGCACGGGCAAGGCCATGGGCTGGGCTTAGGAAAAACCATTCCGTGTTTCAGCAAGACCCAAATACGCGTCTTCCCTTTTGGCCAGTGGCCCATGGCAGTGAGTTAGGGAGTAAGGTCGTGTGCCCAGCGGCTGACCACCCCACGAGGGCATGGACACCCTCCACTGAGTTTCCTGCCCTCTTCATAGGGGCAGCCTCGGGGCAGGGGAGGTTCCCATCCAGGAGGGGCCCTGGGCTCTCCCGCGGGGTCCCCTCAGAAGCAGCAGCAACGGCAGCAGTCACATGAGGTCTGCAGAGCACAGCAAGCGGACCTTCATTCATTCTCTGGGGTTCCAGGCCCACCCTCCTGTTCAGCGTGGAAATCTTTATCACCCAGCTAGTTGCTTTAAGTCTTCCTTTGGAATTTAGCCGGAGGGGAAGGAGGCAGGAAAGATCAGCTTTGTAAGAGCATAAAGAAAGGGGAGAGTGGTGGGCAAGGCTCACCACCCACTCTCAGAATCCGCTCACAAGGGACGAGCCCACAAAGTACCCCCTCGCCATCCCACCAATCCTGAGTCACTGGTTGGATTCTTACTTAAAAGTTTGATATTTTATTCAGCGTAGATTTTTTTGCATTGATTTTTATTTTTAAAAACATTGCATTAAAATATTATTTCTCTTGATTTACTGAGGTTTTAGGCGCCCCTTGCATTTTGTACTCAAAGCGAGCGCCTTAAACACCTCCCCTTCGCCCCTGCTAAGCCATCTCTGGAAGGTTAACCAGCGGTGATCAGAAATGTGTTTTCTGTAGTGCTTCACAGTTCGGCAGAGTCAGTGTGAGCACCACCACTTTTGCCTGCATGACTTGGGGAAATTCTTAACTTCTTGGAGCCTCAGTTTCCCCAGCTCTAAAATGAAACTAGAACAATAGCACCTTCCATCGAGAGAGGCGGTGAAGGTAAAATACGATGATCCACGAGATTAACACTGTGCCTGGCCCATGAGTTCAATACATGGCAGCTATGAATGGTATGAGGCCCCTATTTCCAGAACCAGCCTTCTGTCAAATCTCCCTATTATTCTCGGGGTCAATGGAATTGAAAGTTTCAAATACACCGTCTCAGAAATTCCTGAGTCTGGGGTATATGACATGGGAACCTCTTACAATCATTGTTGGTCCTAAGAAACCAATTGTTATCAATTAGGAGCTTGGAGCTCAGAGATCTGCTGGAGAGGGTGGGGGGCCCAGCGGGGTGCGGGGAGCGGTGGGGGGAGTGTGCCTGGTCAATGCCTCCCCTACTGGCTGGGGGAGAAACCTCCGGGAACAGAAAGTTACTGTAAGTCTGTTTCAAAAGGAACATTCTCTGCTCTCCCCTCTCCTTCCTCTGCCAGCCGCAACTGCTCCCACTGGAAGTGGGCTGATTTGCTCAAGTAAATGATCATGAAAGCGGGGTCCCTGGCCCCCCACTCGGAGACCTTCGGTTGGTTCACCGCACAAGACTGATTTAGAAGACCACTGTGAGGTTCTCTCACCCCAGCCACTCCCAGCCCCGGGCCAGTGGGTGTTGAGACCCCTGCTGGCAGGGACAGCTGCGAGGCCGCGTTGTTTGCCCCCAATCTGTCATGGCTACTGTGGTTGTCTTTAATTTATGGGGATGAGGGATTTCTCGGTGATTTCCTGCCGGGGTTCAAGGGAAGGTCGCGCGTGATGGGCCTGGCGGCAGGTGAATCTGATCGCCCAAGAGGAGGCCCCTGGGCTTGGGTTCAGCATTGCTGGCTGGGCTCTCACGGACTCATTCTGCCTTCATCATTCTCGCTTTGTTCCATCCTCCCTGGGCTCCGACACATGTGCCGACCAGGGACTCGGCCCTCCCCATCTCTCCCCTGCAAGACCTGATCTCTGCCTGCCCCTGCCCAACCACGTGAACTCTCATTTCGCTTGAAGTTTAAAACCCTCCACAAATTGGCTCCTTTGGCCCTTTTCTCCACCTGCTCCCCTTACAGGCCACCTCCACCTCCACTGACCTTGCCACAAGCCACACCGGTCCACTTGCCTTGCAGATACACTCGGCTTTTTTCTCCTCGACCCAATTTGCTGGAAACCTTCCCCCCCCCCCACTCTGCTGCCCATTGCTGTCCTACTTATTTTAACATCCAGCTTGAAAACCATCCCCTTCAAGAATTCTTTCTTTCTTTCTTTTTTTTTAAATCGATGACTCCACTTGTACATAACATCATGTCAATGAAAACTATAGTTAAGGAGTTTCACACTGCAGTATCCACTACAATTTTAACCACATACGCGCTCTCCTGAGAGTCTTATCCTGAGACATTTTGTATTTGAAATCTCCTTGGCTTTGCTTTCTATTATGGTCAAAAATGCATAAAATTTACCATCATAGCCATTTGTAAGTGTATGGTACAATAGTGTCAATTATATGTACCTTGTTGTGCAACAATCTCTAGAACTTTCTCATCTTATAAAACTGAAACTCTATGTCCATTGAATGACAACTTCCTTTTCCCTTGCCCCAGGCCTGGCAACCAGCATTCTACTTTCTGTTCCTAAGAGCTTGATTACTTTAGATGCCTCATATAAGTGGAATCATGCTGTATTTGTCTGTTTGTGACTGGTTTATTTTATTTAGCATAACGTCCTTGGGTTCATTCATATTGTAGCATTTTAACAGGATTTCCTTCTTTTTTAAGGCTGAATAATATTTCATTGTATGTATACACTTTTTTTTTTTTACCCATCTATCTGTTGATGGACAGACACTTGGGTCGCTTCCACCTCTTGGTGCCTCTGTTGAAAATCACTTGCTCATATATGTGAGGGTTTACTTCTGGACATCTATTCTGTTCTATCGGTCTTATACGGCTGTCTTTATTCTAGTGCCATGCTGTTTTGATTACTGTAGCTTTGCAATGTATTTTTAAATCATAAATTGTGAGACCTCCAGCTTTTCTTTCTCAAGATTGTTTTGTCTATTCGAGGTCCTTTGAGATTCCATATGAATTTTAGGATGATTTTTTT